GAGAAATATTTAGAGCGGACCTGAGTTCTTGCTAACGGAATCTTGATTTTAACTGCGGAACCTCTAGTTCTGGTTATAGTGCAGTCAAAGAAGTTGTGAAAATCCACCGCTGCTTTCCCTGATAAGATTTTGAATGCCATTACAAGATCTCTAAGCTTCCGCCTAACCAGCAAGCTGGGAAGGGAAAAAAGGCGGCGACGCTCGACACTTCCAGGGATGAATTCGTAGGACAATCCTGAGCAGCGCATAGCAAGTTTCCGCGTGAAGCTGTTCTGAACACTTTCCAGCAAACGTATATCTTTCTTTTTAGAAGGACTGAATACTGTAGTGCCAGATTCAAGAATTGGTCTGACGTATGTTTTATACGCTCTAATGAGAGTTCGTGAATCCTTCGAGCAGAGCGCTCTAAAAAGGTTGTGAATCCTAAACATGGCTCTAGATACTACGTCTCGATAGTGCTTATCAAATCCAAGCTTATTGTCGAATTTAAAGCCGAGATCGCGAACTTCAGAAACACATTGGAGCTCCTTGGATCCAACCCGATAGTTCATGTTATATGTTTTGCCAATACAGAGAAGCGAGGTTTTCTCACATGAAAGAGGCAAGCCCCATCTAACAGACCAAGACATAACGCAATCAATTGCAGCTTGAAGCTCCCTACAGTCGTCTAAATTCTCAACAACTTTATAAATCTTAATGTCATCAGCATACATTACGCAGGAGACTCCGTAACTCGAAAGCAAATTTGGCAAATCACACGTATATACTAAAAATAGCAACGGCGATAATACGCCCCCTTGCGGCACACCACTGGTGGCCAAATAGTGATTGGATAGGACATTCCCTATGCGAACTTGATAACTCCGGTCACGCAAGAAATTGCTGATCCACTCAATAACTCTGTGGTGAAAGCCGACGTACTGGAGCTTATTCAAAGAAGTGAAGTAGGCACTCGGTCAAAAGCCTTTGCGAAATCAAAATACACTACATGAACATCCCTCCTCAGATCAATAGCCTTGGTCCAATCGTTCAAGGAAGTAAGCAACGCTGTCTCCACTGATCGTCCCTTACAGAATCCATGTTGTGAAGAGGGAATAACATTGTTACATTCTAAGTGGGCCAAAAGCCGGCGCTTCAATATTTTTTCAAATGCTCTAGCAAATATGGATGTAATGCTGATTGGACGGTAGTTTCCGGGGAGGTGTAGGGTGCTTTTTTAGGCACAGGTACCACTAGCGAATGTCTCCAACGCGAAGGAACTTCTCCCCTCATATAAGAATAGGTTGAAAATATGCTCAAGGGGGGTAAAGTGTGTGTTCGAGGATCATTTTGATAAATCTAAAGGGAACGAAGTCAGTGAGTAATAGAGGAAGAATTGGGCCAAGTAGAGAGTACTTCGACAATCTCGACCCTATGGAACCAAATGGAAGGCTCCATAACGGGACAGATAGGCAGTAATTCCTGGGAAACATGCTGGTCAGATGACGTATAAGCAAGAAGGAAGGTCCGCGCAAGGAGGTCACCCGCCTTACCTCTATCACTTGCCGCAAGATGAGATTCACCAATCAAAAGAGAGGGCATTTTGTTGCTGTCTTTTATACTAGTACTAATATACTTGTATAGTTTAGAGAGGTCTTTGGATTTTGTAAGCCTATCCAAGATTCGCATAATATTTAGCCAGAGCTTTATCAAGCTTGAGATTAAATGAACTGTAGGACGCCCAAGATGACTCACTATTCTCGTTAACCGCAGTGTTCCAAAGCTTAAAAAGCGCGAGCAACCTTACGGAGTAGATATGAGGTTGTTCGGAAAGTAATGCGGGTTTGTGACATCCATTTTCAAAGAGGCATATTTTCACTAAAATAAAAAATTTTTTGTCATAGCAAAAACTATTGGAAAGCACCAATCTTTCTTAGTAAGGTGCATACTAAAAAGTCCTTCGCTTCCAATCTGCGCTTCTGGAGGCAATGATATCGTCGAGCATCATTTTTACATCAGTTTGAACACTGAAGCATTTCTTTACTCAAGAAGTTGTCGAGATGTTTGGAATAGAAGTATTAGTGAGGGAGAGGTCCAGCGTGCAAGACATGCGGATTGGAGCTTCGCACGCCAGAGTTCAATACTTGCGAGGTCGTTTATGGACGTGTGGCTGAGTGCCTGCATGAAGGAGGCCTTGTTTACTTCTCTCGGTTGACGAGGCTGATGTTTCCAGAGTATTTCATCCGTATGCTGGAGAGACATTGGTGTTGTGTTAAATCCACCTGGTTTCCAAAAGCTGGGGATCAGCCTCGCGTAGGACTGCCGAATGCTGAGCTCAACCCTAATCTTCTGAAAATTTCGCTTTTGGGAAGTTTTTGAAGATTCACCGTAATCAAACTATAAAAAAGATGGCTTTATGTAATCGTGAACAGCCTCTCCATCATAGATGACAATGCATACCGAGTACTGGTAGTTCTTGATACGTAAAACCGCTGGAAACGACCTCTTGGGAAGACGGTATTGCTGCTGCTTCAGTCCAGCAAATATGGAAGTCACCTGTTCAGTGTTTTCACCTCCCAATTACCTTCAAGAGCCACGATATCTTCAATACTTCTTCTGGTCCTGCTGCTTGCTATAGCGCAATTATACTGGAATCGTCTTCTACGGCAATGTTCAGAAGGCCGTCGTCAACAGCAGCACGCTCATGACTTTACTCAACTATGGAATTCTTCTAAACCAAATCTTCGGAGCCAAGGCTGCGCTTATGGAGGCGCTTCTTCGACCCCATCTTTCAATGTTACTCCGACAGGTTTAAGGAGCACTACGTCAGAGTTCCAGCACATCGAAGAAAACTTACCCAAATCCACTGTCTTGACCTTCCGTTCAACCCTATAAAAAACCCCAATATAACCAGCAAAACTGAAGCTCAAATATGTTGTAGGAAAGAAGATGGAATATGCTTGCCTATGATATATAGGGCTTCAGGACTCAAAGGAAGTTTCAGTATAAAAATATTCCAAGTATGCAATGTATGCAATGCATCTCGAAACCCGCATTACTAGAAGTATTTCATATTTGTCATTAACGGAGCAAACTGAACCAAGGGAGCCAATCCAATCGATTTCAGAGAGGTAGTCATCGACGATTTTCATGTCAGCGTTTTTGAACTCTCTGAATTCGAAAACTACAGGCCTAGAATCTGAGACGTTAAGTTGAAAACGCAAACACTATGTAGCAATGCATTGATCACTAGTACCTATGGGTGACAAGATTTTAGTTTGGATGACTAATTAGGGAAATTGCAGAAAACATGGTCAAGACAAGCCTTCGCCTCTCGTAGGGCCGCGGACTAACTGTGTGAACTTTTGAGATCTTTTAGTCTCGACGAAATTCGTTGGTGTTTTTCTGTTCTTCCGGTGGCTGTCCGACCAGTCTTCATCACAAGAAACATCTGGAAGGTTGAAATCACCGAGAACGAGGGTAGGACCATTATTGGAGCAAAAGTCACTTACGTCTTTGAGGAGCAAAGAGGAACCCTGAACACTACAGGAAGGAGTCCTATAAATTACTATAAACCGGATTGCATGAAATTCAAAATAGGCATCTACAACCACGATATCATATGCGCCTGCAACTGATTCCTTGAACACAAGATTGTACGGAATAGAGTGTCTAGTAAGAAGATATGTTCCTTTTAGTGACTCACCGAAGGAATGGGTCCTGTGGAGATTTTGATAGCACTCGTCCTGATTATATTCTTCCTTTGCTATAACATCAATCGACTGCTCGGACTACCGCCCGGTCCCATGCCATGGCCTTTCGTTCGGTTTGTTCTTCATTAAAATTCCCCTTATATCATTTTTCACTAAACAGTGTTCCCTAGGAAACACCTTACAACTGCCGATGGTAGGGATTGATAAACGATTGTTCGAACTAAGGAAAGAGTATGGCGATGTTTTCACGCTCTGGCTACCGTATCCCACAGTAATTATTCAATGGACATGAGGTAGGTAGCCGAATGTGAACTATAAGAGTTTGGTTAGTTGATCATTCCCACATTGGCGTCTAAGGAAAGCCGTTCAGCCATTGAAACGGACGGTGGTCAGGGATGGTGAAGCATATGCAGGACGTCCTGATACTTTTGTGATGATCCTCCTCGTGCAGGTAACACTACTGTCCTTCCTATCGAAAATAACTTCCTCGGAAAGCTGATCATAAACTCACGTCGTTGGTGGTTATTTCAGGGCAATTACGGCCTGATTTTTGAAGAGAACGCTTGGTATCGATCCCAACGACGATTTACACTTCATACGCTGAAAAACCTCGGCGTCGGCAAGGATACCACTAAGGTATGATGTAGCATCAAAATTATGAAAATGGAATAAAACAGTAGTTATAAAGATTATTCAAAAAAAGGATGAAAGTAAGGAAAAGTAAAGGTGAATGATAATGAGATGAAACTATGTGAAAGCCGGAAGATTCTCAGAGAATAAAGGAATAAATAGAAAACGCGAAGATTCAAGCAAGGACAGCAAGGAAGTAGAAATGGTACGAAACGCCATGAGGATTAGGTTGGCGAATGAATAATTCAAACAATACCCTACCTAGATGAGGAAGCTGAGACCGTAATCACGAAAATAGCGCCAGTTTTGCGATCCAAAACCCATTGCAAGAGAAAAGCTATTTTCAAAAACTGGCGACTCGGATTCCCTAATTTCCGGTAGATAAGCCCGCGCCGATATCACGTAAAAACACCTCCGCTCGTGCAGTGTAATTTGTACACCTTAGAAACTACCGTAAATTTGCCTATAGAGGTAATTCGATGCCCTGATTACGAAAATGACTTTCATTTTTAGCGGTGGCGCCATCTGGCGCCAGTTGGCGTCACCTTGTCACGACACCTGTTTTCACCAAATTTGGTGTAAACTTTCGTATACTTTCGTTATTTGGTGTCTGATTACGAATATGACATTCATTCGTGGCGCTATTCGGCGCCGAGAAATATGGATTGAACAACGCTAATGCCAATAACGAATGTCATATTCGTAATCTGGGCATCAAACAATCCTTTACACAGGAGATTTTGGTGAAAACAATGGTGGTGTGACGCCAGATGGCGCCACCGCTGGAAATGATGTGGTTCTTGTAATCAGCATGTTCAATCACCTCTATGAGCAAATTACGGCTGTCTCTAGATGTACGCAAGTGCAGTGCACCAGGGGAGGTGTGTTTACGTCTGACTTATATTTCAGAAATTAGGTTATATTAAGACCCACGTCTCTATGTATCTCCAACGTTGCAAATGCGCTTGTGTCTGCGTCTTACTAGTTCGTCATGCTCTCTCTTTCTCGCCTCTGCTCATATGTAGTGCCTCCTAGAGTGTCTATTTTTGACTGTTCAGAATACTCATCCACTGTTCAGGTAATGCCTTTATTTCCATCGCTTGAGGCGAGTGTCATGAACTATTCTTCAATTTCGGTTCATTTTGCAGTTCAACGCTTAATTTTTGGCGCAATATTCGCATTCATCCTTTTGATATTGTTCACTTCGAAGAAAAGTCAAAAAAGGAATACATATGTAATGCCTCGACATTGATCAACCCTTTATGAGACGCGTCGCACACTAGAACTCCACCTCAATATGGGATTATAATGCGATTCATATGGGACCCATACGATACCTATGAAGTGGGACCACACAGTCAATTTGCCAGACTTTGTACTCCACATCCTTTCGAAAAGCAGCTGATGCACGTTGGTGCAGACTACACCGAAAGTGACGACGGCCTTCACAAATGAAATGTTTTCTGCCAATGAAATGATTAGCCTGTTGCAGTTGTATTCTATCAGTTGTCACTAATTACAACTATCATTTACCAAAATCAGCTATCACTATGAATCACTAGTAACCAGATTTACTTGGAGGCCGTCGTCACTTGTGGTGTGTGGTCTGCACTCGACGCGATTTTGGTCTCGGAAGCCGAGTATGAACGAGCAGGATACCAACTATCGACTATGAAGAGATGGAAAACTTGCTTAGCTAGGAGAGAGTTCGGCTCTCACGCATTCTGTATTGAGTAGTGGCATCGTCCCTTGGCGTTTTTCGTTCGTGGAAAAATGGAAGCATTCAGTGAAAAGGATTCCATATAAAATTGTAAGAGTCACTCTCGTTAGCTGCTTAGTTTATGAACTTTTAGGATGCCATCACAATGCTCACTCATCGAACTGTTGACCTTTTACGACAAACAAATG